AAAAATTCTCCTTTGGGTGGAGTGAGAAGGGCATGAACAGGGAAATATTACCTAAATTAATATCCTGGAAAATCATGTCAACACAATGCAATGCAGTCCATTCATTATCCTCCACTGATGAATGAATACCTGCTAACTGAATGAATTTTGAGCAGGATGCTGTTTATTACCTCATCTAAAGCCTGCATGTTGACATGTTGATGTGTGCCATGTCAAGGGCATGGTTGCTGGAGCGTCTCTGTGTGTAAGCCTTGAGGATAATGTCCCTTTGTGTTATTGTGATGTGACAGAATGACCTTTATCGACCCCTTGTGAGACAGTGTAAATAGTGATCCGTCAATATAGTGATCAGAGCCAGCTGACTTTAATTCTGTGCTTTTGCTTCGTCTCTTACTTTTGCAAAAATGGCAGTGCTGTTAGTCCTCACTCAGCAAAACATCTCAGGTTACACGAGGCCCAGGGAAAGGCTGATGGACTTGCTGTTATTCCACGATCATTCACATGAGCTATTGATTCAGACATGCATTACACAAATACAATTGAAATATTATTAATTGACTTAAGATCAGACACATAATCATAAATATGAAACTAAAGAGAAAGTGAATGACTATGATGCCTTTAATGAATTTCAGCACCAATGAAGTGGACAGTGACTAAATCCTGCTGATAGAGAACACTAAAGACTGAACTTTCAGCTTGACCTAAAACATTCTGGAATATTTCTGGTGAATTTTGAAACAAAATTGATCATTTTATTTATTTATTTATTTTAACTTGGTTTAAGAATGAAAAAAAAAAATCCCATAGACATTGACCAGAATATCATAGAAATAATAAAAAAAAATTACAAAAAATTCTCTGATGGAGAAAGACATGCGCACCCTTGCCACATTCCTTGGTATGTTTTGAACATCTGAGGCACAGTTTGTGAGCTTTACTCACAGAACTTGCTGCATTTGAGCCATTTTTCATATGCAATTATATAGGTCATTCTAGATGAACCTTGAGAGTTCAGAGCTTTTGAAACAGGTTACAAAATAATGCAGCGATGGATTTGTGCTGCACTCTAGTGTCCAGTAAGCATACATCCTCCTTTCACACTGCAAAAAATGAGCTATTGATTCAGACATGCATTACACAAATACAATTGAAATATTATTAATTGACTTAAGATCAGACACATAATCATAAATATGAAACTAAAGAGAAAGTGAATGACTATGATGCCTTTAATGAATTTCAGCACCAATGAAGTGGACAGTGACTAAATCCTGCTGATAGAGAACACTAAAGACTGAACTTTCAACTTGACCTAAAACATTCTGGAATATTTCTGGTGAATTTTGAAACAAAATTGATCATTTTAGGATTTTATTTATTTATTTATTTTAACTTGGTTTAAGAATGAAAAAAAAAAATCCCATAGACATTGACCAGAATATCATAGAAATAATAAAAAAAAATTACGTTTCACGTGCGTTTCCCAAAAATGCACTTAACGTAGCCGTGCTTTAAGTGCTACGTAGGAGTCGCTATCCGTTTGTCAAGTGCTGAAATGTCACCTTATAGAATGGCTCGTAATTGTAGTAAATGCTCGTTTATTGAAATGTTAACCTAATGCTGCGTTCCAGACAACTCGGATATAATAACAATTATATTATATTATATTATATTATATTTATACGTATAATATTATACTTTACATAAAAATATAGGCTACAATATACTTTATACAAAAATATATATTATAGTAGGCTATATCTATATAGAGATGTAATTTCCGGGTCCAATACATTGGTTTTCGTGCACGTCAGTAAGTCATTGAGAGATTTTTTCAAGCATATTTCCTACATTACTTCTTTTATTCATTTTTTTTTTTTTGGTTCAGTCATTCAGTTTAGATGTGTATTTCTATTTTTTCTGGCCTTTTTAATTATTTCATTTATAAATTCATAAAAAAAAAAAAAGTAGCCTAATATAGTAATAAAGTGTAGAATAAAGTACAATCAAAACTTTATATTATAATCACATTGCACTTGAATAAAGTTAAAGGTGCAACTTCTTAGGCTTACGAAGCTTTTGGGAAACGCAGCCTAGAATGTCATAGCAATAAAAGAAAAACATTAGAAAAAGAAAAAAAAAAGATTTTCTTTCTCAGTATCTTTCTTATTCTGCAGTACATTTTATATCAAGATACACATTACTTGAGAATCAAAATTACTTAATTAAATCTTGTTTCCTGAAATATGTAAGTGGGGGTAATGAAAATAAACTTAATTCTAAGGCAAAACAAGATTCTTTTTCTTACTCCGTTTTAAGCATAAACTTAATTTGATACAATTTATACATTAATTTTGATAAATTTGTCAGAAAACAAGACTTAATGTAATTTTACTATTCAAATAAATGTGTCTTGATGCATAATCCTGAAAAAAAAAAACTACTCTTACTACAGGTGAATTGCTATGAAAACTTGTTTCCTTCATGGGATAAAAGATAAGGTAATTGTGACTTTTTATCTCCCAATTCTGAGTTTATATCTCACAATTTTGACATTTCTTCTTAGAATTGTGATGATATAAACTTACAAATGCTAGAAAAAAGTCACAATTTCATTTTTTTAGTCCATGGTGGGGGAGAAAAAAAAAGATGTAAATTCAGAAATCAGAAAAAAAAGTCAGAACTGTGAGATGTGAATTGAGAATTCTGAGAAAATTGCAAGATATAAACGTGCAATTCTGAGAAAAAAAGCCAAATTGTAAGATATAAATGTGCAATTACATTGAAAAAATCAGATAGAATTTCACAATTACCTTTTTTATTTTTTAATCCGTGGTAGAAACAAGCTTCCATAGGTACCTGATCCATATCTAGAGACCAGAACATCATAGAAACAAACCAGAAAACACATTAAAAACATACAAATAATTTAATAATATAATTTCTCCCACAGGCAATAAAAAGTATCTAATGGGCCCGAAGTTCTCCACAGTAGACGCTGCTGTATTTGGTCATCTCGCTCAAGCCATGTGGACTCTCCCAGGAACACGTCCGGAGCAGTTAATTAAAGGTGAGGTCATGAACTCCTGCTTTTTTGTTTGGGAATACTGTCATATAAAGTTATGAGCGCATTAACTGACTGAAGCTGCTTCATCGGTGCAGGCGAGTTCATCAACCTGGCCATGTACTGTGAGCGAATCCGCCGCAAATTCTGGCCGGAGTGGTTTGTGGACGTGGACGACCTTTACTACGACGGACTGAGTGAGGAGCCGGATTCTCCTTCCCAGCTTCCAGATTTGGGTCTGTACTCGCACAGTGGCAGCTTCCAGGAGCAGGAAAGCACTCTGTCGCACCACGACACGCCATCACCGGACAGCGACGTCACCGGACGCTCTCTGTTTGACTCGGACATGGACACCGAATGCTCGGAAATGGAGCAGTTGAAGTGAAAACCACACCCCCTTGATGATGCATCTGCACGGGCCTCGCCCCCTTTGTTCTCCCACAAGCCCTTTAGAAGGGGAAGGGCTGGTCAAATAAAGACGTGGTGACGTGGCAGCGGTTTTCCCAGACTCTGAGCGAGGGATGGCAATAAATCCGACGGGAAAGGTATTCTGACACTTTTTAATTAATGAAACCGAGGATTTTATTAAACGAGGGAAGGCCAGGCTATAGAGAATCCAGGAAGAAAACAGAGTGAGAATGACGCTTCAGCTGAATCACTCCTGTGGTGTGACATCATCACTGCGCTCGACATCAGCAGAATGACATCATCTCATGTGACCACTCCCCATTCACCGAGTGTGTTTGTAGCCGAACAGCACTTCTTACATCCTGGGGTTTATTAGTATACGGGTAGACAAACAGAAAGAAGGATTTTGGGTGATGATTGAAATGTGTAGATACTTGACTGATTTAGACGGCATAATATCTCATAGTTCATCTAAAATTCATGTCCAGTTTTATTCGGTCAAATCTACAAAGCTAAGACCGGAATATGCAGAGCGAGAAAGCTGATTGATAGTTATTGTGAAAATGTTAGTCTAAGGTTTTTTTTCCCTCAAACCATTGCAGCATAGCAGAATTCCCAAATTGATGATCTTTCCATTTCAATTTTTTATGGCCAATTACGCAATGCATTAATGAATAATTCACCCAAAAATGAAACTTCTGTAATTGAATCATCCGTATATCATCCCTAGTCTATATGACTTACTTTATTCTGTAGAACATAACAGATACATTTTAAACAAAGTTTATGCATTTTTTTCAAACTATAAAAGCATACAGTGACCAGAGGCTGTCAAGATCTAAAAAAGCATCATAAAAGTGGTTTATATAACTTCTGCACTGTATTTTAGGTCTTCTGAAGTTACATAGCTTTGTGAGGACCAGATTAACCATATGAAGCAAGCTTGAGATGCATAAAATAATAGCCCCCCCCAAAAAAAATAATAATATAATATTACATGGAATTATTTTTTAATTAAAAGTTTGCCTTTTTTGGAGTATCATATTTGATACATCTGGCTTTTATGGTTTTATGGTTCATATAATATGATATATGAGCATATGGAGATCACACTCAGTTTGCTCTAGGCATAACAGACTATTTACATAAAATGCATATAAATATCAGTTGTCACTCTAGCTGGATGTGTCCTATTTGATGCTCACATTTTAAAAGTTAAAGTTTTTGAAGTTATTTTTATGCTTACAAAAAGAAGTGTACCACAACATTTTGGAAAGATACTAAAAGGCCTTTTACTTTCTAAAAAAGTATAAACTATCAGTCAGACAAGACAACATAAGGCATTTTTCAAAAGAAAATTAAGCATGTTTATAATCTAAAAGTGTATTTAACTTTGCACACATGAAACAAGGTTTAACATCAGTCATATCTCATGTCTCATCACTACTCCCTGCATATTTGAATATTGACAAATTATTATTTGATTTTGGCTGAATTATTCATATAGGAGCAAATATGGTGAATAAATAAATATAAAATGACTAATAGTCATTTATTTGTTTGTGTTTCAAAGCCTATTTTTAGTAACAAGATGCAGATTCTAAATCGGTTGAATGCAGCCGCATTATTTAAATCTATATAAAGCGAGACTCATATGTGTGTGCAGATGTTATATGTGCTGAATGTGTAGCTAAAAACATCACTTGTGTTTGTCGAACAGCAAACACTTCAGATGGGGATCTGTGATTGTGCAAGAGCGCCTCCTGTGGGCAGCATCATGACAGAAAACACTGGACCAGAATAGAACAGAATACCCTGGTAATGCAGCAGTGTTTCTCAAATGCAGCCATTAAAGAAGGAGACGCATAACACAATACAGATGGAGACAGACAGCTGATGTGTGTGAGTGTGTGTGTGTGTGTGTGTGTGTGTGTGTCCATCTGCTGCATGACTGAGTCACTGAGTCATCGTCACGCATGAACATACTCGCAGGAATGATCTCCCAGGGGCCAATGCACAACGAATGAGACTTATGTTTTTTCTGTTCCGTAGTGAGATATAATCTGTATCTTGCTGTGCCGTACAAACTTCCTTCCTGTTGCCACAAATGCCCTTTTAATATCTTGAACATGATCCTGCATTAAGACGCCTATATAGAGCAGTTCTTAGAAAGAATGGGAAGTGTCTCGCCATTTTTACACCCTTCAAATGCAAATGTACTTATCTGATGTTTGTTCAAATGCAACGTTATACAGAAATGTGTAGGAAAAATGGTTTATATAAATATCAGGTTAATTAACTGGTGCTTTGTTAGAAATAAAAGGTTTGCATGCCAGTAATTATTTAAACGTGCCAAAGACTTAAAGGAACAGTTCACCCAAAAATGAAAATTTGCTGTGAATGGGTGCCGTCAGAATGAGAGTCCAGACAGCTGATTAAAAACATCACAATAATCCACACCACTCCAGTCCACCAATTAACATCTTGTGAAGATGGAGAAAACAATATTATGGATAGAGGACTCATATTTTAACCCGAAGCAACAGTTTAAAGTTAAAAATGTCTTAAAGATGAACATGTATCTTACAAACATGCAGCTTTTCACTTTACAAGATGTTAATTGATGGACTGGAGTGGTGTAGATTACTTGTGGATTATTGTGATGTTTTTATCAGCTGTTTGGACTCTCATTCTGACGGCACCCATTCACTGCAGAGGATCCATTGGTGAGCAAGTGATGTAATGCTACATTTTTCCAAATCTGTTCTGATGAAGAAACAAACTCATCTACATCTTAGATGGCCTGAGGGTGAGTACATTTTATGCAAATTTTCATTTTTGGGTGAACTATTCCTTTAAAGTCCTAAAATTGGCAGCCAGTCTGAGTACTAGCATCATATTCTTTCTTAAGATGTTTGGTTGCTTGTTTGTATTGTTCTTGATTTAAGACGTGCCTGATTCAAAAAACAAACAATTATTTATATATTTTTAAAATCGTTTTCTTTTTTTTTCTGTATGTACTATGTGTTATTCCTGGACCACTTGACCTTTTTTAATTATCGCTTGTGATTTAATTTATATTAGAAAGTATTGCAAAAGACTTATTATTGACTTTTAATGAGTTTTATATTTTTTTCATGATATCTGTAGTTGTGTTTAAGTTACTCCAAGAGCCGTATGTTTTACACGCTGTTGGTTTGATTATATTGAATGAATTTCAGACGATGCTCACCAGGCCAGAATTCAAGGCTTGTCTTCAAAAACTCACTACAAGCGTTACAGACTATTGCAAATGAATTTTTAATGGTTCCTTGCTGAGCTTTAGTTATAGCTAGATTTATCATCCATACATGACAATCTTGTACTTTAGTTATTTTCCTCACAAGACATACAGCCCCACTCATATGCCAAAAGTGATGGAAATATGGCAACCCAAAGATGGAATAATGTTGGAAGGACAATAGTAAAAGTTCAAAATCTCTTTGTTTCCTCACAAGTGTGTGCAGATTTTAGAGCCATATTACAGAGTCTGTGTTGTGTGTATCATGACCCTGTTGGATTTATTATGGGCTGCACATAAAATTGGGGAGTGAGGGGTACATTAGTTGTGTACATGAACTAATGATCACTGTAACATAAATGAACCAAAATTGTCTGGAGAATGTATTAAAGATATTCAAAATAAAATATAGCTGTATTAAATTAACCGCTTCTGGTTGTGTGGTTTCTGAGTTCATTCTTTAACTCTTAATATTCTTTACTAATAGATACATGATTTAGAATAGCCTAAAGTAGTGCGTCACAAATGGTTGCTTAGTGAAATTAGCTAAATTATTATAAAAAAAACATTTTATTGTGCTTGTTATGTGTTATTAATGGTATTTTAATTATTTACTAATTCAGTTAATCTAAATCAGCTATTAATATCTTAATTTAAAATTCAATATCCACTTTTATTTTTCTGGTAAAAGCGGAAACAGCCGTTTGTGAATGTGCGAGGCTTCCGGTGTTACCTGCTTCCAGTTATTTTACTCTTACAAAAACTATCCGTTAAGCTGCTTGATATTGCAAACTGGTATTTGTTATATGATTAGGCTATAATATATTATCGTAATCATAAACACACTGGTTTGTAACGCAAATACGTTACTTTGTTATTATTTTAGTTAATAGCGGCTAATGAAACGGAAGTCTCGCGCATTCAAACAAAATAACATACTTCCGCGTTGCAAAGTAAGGTGGTGAACACTTGCCTGTCCTGTGCGCCAGATTGTTAGAAATCCAACATAAGATTTAGAGAACACGGAGGTTTTAAAATAAATCCAGTTTTAAAGTTGATATTCAACCTTAAGCAATCCATAAAGTTTGTATGTGCCACCTGCTTCAAAACAAGAACTTTCCAACGGTAAGAACTTTCTCTCAAACACAACCTGGTCAGGAAAAACTGATACTCACGCTACAAGAGTCAGAATTAATATGATTCACAACCAATATACAATGACTTAAGACTTTTGACTTGCACGTTACCAAATAACCTACACAAATCTTTACAGTTAGGCTACCATCTGCACTGACAGACGGACGAGATGAGTGACTACAAACGGCAGGCTATATTTATAAAATACACCCCAAGCTCATATTCCATGACTATATGACTATATTTTGACTAAACAGAACATGCAAACAGATAGACAACTGTAATAGGCTATCTCAATTTCATTAAGAATTGCTTTTCTCCAACACATTATAGGCCTAGTCAATAGATGGCGCTCACAGCACGCACACACACACACACACACACACACACACACAAACACAAACAAATGCGGCTTTACGCAGTTTTTCAAGGCAGTGAAAATTCCCAAGGCCCTAGGATCCACTATTCATTAGCCTATAAACACACAGTAAATAAATTGACATCTAGTCTTTTAGTCGTTTTCCTAAAATTGTACATTGATGGAGCAGTACATTTTTTTAAAGGAAATGGCCGATGATATTTGAAAAGACCGTCTGATAAATAGGCCTATATTAAAATGCAATAGGCTATATTTTATCGTTTAAAATATATTATTAATTGTTTAAAAGCTATTATTACAATATGATTTAACAGATCACTAGCAGTAGTTTTTGTTTGTTTTCATGAATGTAAAGCCATTTACTCGTTTGAATTAAAAAAAAAGGCCTATTTAGATCCAGAATAGCATCATAAAATATTCACGTACGTCTCCGATCTCTTTCGGAACCCGTTTGAACCCGTCAAATGCGTCTTCATTACCAGTGAAATGGCAAACATTTGCCTCCATGGTCACGCAGAAATCGAAGCGAAGGAATTGGATCTACAGCAGCATCTCATCCCGAGGCAACATTATATTCAACAGCCTTGATGCTCGAATAACGTGTGAAATTGTGAATCCATTTATCTTGAGGATCTTCATCCGCGGGGCACAGAGTGATGAGAGGCACTTCTTTATATAAAAACGTATTCATTTAATGACAAAAGGCGTTTAAAAACTGTGCAATTTTTCTGTCAAAACCAAAGACATTACTGGTCTCAATAGGGCACACTGACAGCTTGTGCTTTGGCAGTGCCAGGTTAAGTGCACAAATATACAAGTACTATTCACAGAGCCATAGAAAATTCAAAATAAAAATCCACGCACAATGTCCTTGTTTTTCGATGCAGGCCATCAAATCAGCGTAACACAGCTGGTGTAATATTTCCCGTTAAAGAAAAAGAGACAAATTTGGGATAAACAAGAAACACAAAAGAGCAAACAGATACAAACATGTTGAGGCTTATACATTTAATTGACGCACAAAATCACACAATGTTATTAAAATAATAATGGGCAAGATTAACTGGCCTCTATTAGTCTATTATTATTATTATTATTATTATTACATTGTCGTTGTTGTTTTTAAATCTTGAACGGTGTTACTGTAATAATTACAAGCAAGAACAATTTGCTTTTATTATTATTATTATGTCGTCATCAATATAATTTTTACATCTTGCCATTTTCATATAAAGCGTTTCCAGACAAATGACTGAAATTAAATAAAAGCTTGGTTTGTTGTTATCTTTAATATAAAATATAATAAATTATACGAGTCAGTTTTGGTTTCTTTTAGATTTCCTAGATTAGAAAAGGCTAAATAACCAGAAATGGTTTAAATTAAGAGGAGGAAGAATCTTTATAAACAAGCCACTGTCTCAAATCATGAACGCTTTTGGTGTACGCTTATAGAAATTCAGTCAAAATGTTAAGAAAACCCAAACTGGGTGGTTAATTATAAAGAGCTGGTATCCATTAATTTTATTTGTGAATAGAAATTTCGATATGGTCCACAACACTGCGATTCTGGGTTTTACTGTTTCCTCAGGCCTCTGTTTTGCACCAGCTGTGTGCATTCGTGATCTGCATGAAATCAGGCTGCTTTGCCTGTGAAAGACACACAGCAGCACTTGGCAGCCTTTGTTGTGACGGAAATTTGACTTTTAAAGAATTGATCACGTTTGCATTTAACAGTGATAATTTTAGATGTTAATATGTACATAGTGTTAATAATAACAATAAAATAACAATAATAAATATTATTGTTATTGTTAATTTTTCGTATTAGGAATTTTTGGATTTTTTTATTTAAATAATTTGGAGATATTTAGTTTATTATTATGATTATGATTATTATTATTAGGTTATTTATTGGCATTAATATATAAAGGCGAATGAAATGCAGACATAATTTTAATCAGTATTAAACCTTTTGTGATCGTGACGGTAATAATAATAATAATAATAATAATAACGAAGCATTTTCCATTTATATATGGAAGAGAATGTGCACAGTAGACTGCACCGAAATTAATTTCAATCAGTAAGAAACCTTTTGTGGTCATGAGGGGAAGATGGCGCGCCCCTGACGCCTTTTTTTCACAGCTTTCGGTTGGAAGTGATATGATGCTTTCACAGATCCTCGGACTTGAAAAAAGAAATCTCTTAAATAAAATAATATTTACGTTCCCTCTTTAGGTTCAGCCGTGGCGCGTAACGTGGCAGTGCCAGGTTAAGTGCACAAATATACAAGTATTCACAGAGCCATAGAAAATTAAAATGAAAAATCCACGCACAATGTCCTTGTTTTTCGATGCAGGCCATCAAATCAGCGTAACACAGCTGGTGTAATATTTCCCGTTAAAGAAAAAGAGACAAATTTGGGATAAACAAGAAACACAAAAGAGCAAACAGATACAAACATGTTGAGGCTTATACATTTAATTGACGCACAAAATCACACAATGTTATTAAAATAATAATGGGCAAGATTAACTGGCCTCTATTAGTCTATTATTATTATTATTATTATTATTACATTGTCGTTGTTGTTTTTAAATCTTGAACGGTGTTACTGTAATAATTACAAGCAAGAACAATTTGCTTTTATTATTATTATTATGTCGTCATCAATATAATTTTTACATCTTGCCATTTTCATATAAAGCGTTTCCAGACAAATGACTGAAATTAAATAAAAGCTTGGTTTGTTGTTATCTTTAATATAAAATATAATAAATTATACGAGTCAGTTTTGGTTTCTTTTAGATTTCCTAGATTAGAAAAGGCTAAATAACCAGAAATGGTTTAAATTAAGAGGAGGAAGAATCTTTATAAACAAGCCACTGTCTCAAATCATGAACGCTTTTGGTGTACGCTTATAGAAATTCAGTCAAAATGTTAAGAAAACCCAAACTGGGTGGTTAATTATAAAGAGCTGGTATCCATTAATTTTATTTGTGAATAGAAATTTCGATATGGTCCACAACACTGCGATTCTGGGTTTTACTGTTTCCTCAGGCCTCTGTTTTGCACCAGCTGTGTGCATTCGTGATCTGCATGAAATCAGGCTGCTTTGCCTGTGAAAGACACACAGCAGCACTTGGCAGCCTTTGTTGTGACGGAAATTTGACTTTTAAAGAATTGATCACGTTTGCATTTAACAGTGATAATTTTAGATGTTAATATGTACATAGTGTTAATAATAACAATAAAATAACAATAATAAATATTATTGTTATTGTTAATTTTTCGTATTAGGAATTTTTGGATTTTTTTATTTAAATAATTTGGAGATATTTAGTTTATTATTATGATTATGATTATTATTATTAGGTTATTTATTGGCATTAATATATAAAGGCGAATGAAATGCAGACATAATTTTAATCAGTATTAAACCTTTTGTGATCGTGACGGTAATAATAATAATAATAATAATAATAACGAAGCATTTTCCATTTATATATGGAAGAGAATGTGCACAGTAGACTGCACCGAAATTAATTTCAATCAGTAAGAAACCTTTTGTGGTCATGAGGGGAAGATGGCGCGCCCCTGACGCCTTTTTTTCACAGCTTTCGGTTGGAAGTGATATGATGCTTTCACAGATCCTCGGACTTGAAAAAAGAAATCTCTTAAATAAAATAATATTTACGTTCCCTCTTTAGGTTCAGCCGTGGCGCGTAACGCCTCAGAGCGTGTTTTCTGGCGCCCGCGCCCGTATATTGTTCGCGCAACCACGCGCGCTCTCCGCGCCCTCGGAGGTGCCACACACACAGGAGACACTTCATCACCGTCGGTCCGCCCCGAGCGGGCTTGTGACCGGGACAAAGAGACAGTCGATTATGTTTCAGGCCGCCCCTTTTCTCACGGAACAGGTGTCTGCGCGCCGTGGTGAGGCGAGGCGTCCCCGTACACATCCTCGTTCCCGGCCATCGGTCCGTTTTGGGGCGTCATTCGCTTCTCCTTCTGCCGCCGGTTGCAGAACCAAACCCGCACCACCTCCTTCTCCAGCTGCAGGCTGTTCGCCAGCGAGTTGATCTCCGACGCGCCGGGTTTGGGGCACTTGAGGAAATGGCTCTCCAGGGCCCCTTTGACACTCACCTCGATGGAGGTCCGCTTTTTCCTCTTCCTCCCCTGCGCCGCGATCTTATCCAGGCTGGTCGGGCTTCCCGAGGTGGAGTCCGCCTCCTCCAGCCATTTGTTCAGAAGGGGCTTGAGTTTGCACATGTTCTTGAAGCTTAGCTGGAGCGCCTCGAACCTGCAGATGGTGGTCTGGGAGAAGACGTTGCCGTAGAGGGTGCCCAGCGCGAGCCCCACGTCCGCCTGCGTAAAACCCAGCTTGATCCGGCGCTGCTTGAACTGCTTGGCGAACTGCTCCAGGTCGTCTGAGGTCGGCGTGTCCTCGTCTGAGTGCAGGCAGTGCAGGCTGCCGTGCTCGCTCAGATGAGGGCTGTGGTGCTCCTCGTGGTGCATCCCCGGCTCGCCGTACTCGCCGTACGAGTAGATCAAGCTCTGCCCGTTGGAGGTGCTCATGCTCGGCATGGTGGTGGCGCGCCAAGCGCCTGCCTCGTGATGCTGCTGGCTCTGCACCAGATGCGCCTGCCGCGGCGAATGCTGCAGCACCTCCACCGGCTTAATGTCCTGCTCGCCTAGCGGGCTGGCGGGCCACGGCGACCCCTCTCCCCCGTGAGACAGCGCCGCCGTCAGCCACTGGTGCGCATGGCCAAGCGTGCTGCCGCTGCTCTGCAGGGTGGTGTACTCGCTCTGCAGAAGGCTGTGCGCGTCTCTGTAGGCCTGCGGCGTCGGCGTCTGCTGCATGCTGCCGGGCTCCGAGCTGGACGTGAGGATGCTGTAGTGGTTGGACGCCGCGGTCGCCATAGTTTCCACAGCTACTCTGTGCCACAGGCGGGTCCCCAGCGCGCCAGAGCCGCGAGGACGCAGAGGCGCGCACCTGAGATCCGCCTCGCGCTGCTGTCGATTGGTCAGAAGCGCTTGACAGATGCGGCAGCGGCGCGTTCATTGGTTACAGTAGAGTCGACACTGAAGCCCCATCCCATTGCGCTCCACTGAAAACAAGCACAGAGGGATCAGCAGTGACAGGGCGCAATGGGCTCCAAAGGTATCCAGCCTGGCTTTCGTTAACTTTTTCTTTAGGTTTAAATGCTTCGCAATTTAGTAGTAATATGCTGTTTTACTTGGCTGTTACTTATATGATAGTCATTCCAATAGAATTAAATAATTCATTTTAGATTAATTTCGTTATTATTGGTTATTCTATGAGTGTTTTGTTCAAAAAGGAATAAACTTGTTTTTAATATTATCCGTGAAAACTAGCATATGAAAACATTTTTTAAATATATGTTTATAACCGTGTTTATTATATATCATGTTAGCATTTCAAATAAATGGTAAATACATTTTAGTCAAAAACCTAATATTTTTATATATTTAACTGTGTATCTCTCTCTCTCTCTCTCTATATATATATACAGTATATATGCAATAGTAAATATATATAAAAGTAAACCTAAACATATGTTTATATAGTTATTTTAAATATTTCTTATATACAGTAATCTGTAGTTCAAATAAATTAATAAATAAACAAAAAATTGATAAAGACAATACAAAAGTGCAAAACGTTTTTTTTTGTATTTAAATATATCTATATCTTATAACTGGATAAAACAAAATGCTCTTCTACAATAAAAATGAATGAATAAGACGTGGGTGCATAATATATTTCATATAGAAAATTAAAAAAGACTATTAATCATAAGGCGCTGCTTGAACTGCTTGGCGAACTGCTCCAGGTCGTCCGAGGTCGGCGCGTCCTCGTCCGAGTGTAGGCTCTGCGGGTGGTCGTGCTCGCTCAGATGCGGGCTGTGGTGGTCCTCGTGGTGCATCCCCGGCTCGCCGTACCCGGACTGAGAGTAGATCAAGCTCTGCCCGTTGGAGGTGCTCATGCTCGGCATGGTGGTGGCGCGCCAAGCGCCTGCCTCGTGATGCTGCTGGCTCTGCACCAGATGCGCCTGCCGCGGCGAATGCTGCAGCACCTCCACCGGCTTAATGTCCTGCTCGCCTAGCGGGCTGGCGGGCCACGGCGACCCCTCTCCCCCGTGAGACAGCGCCGCCGTCAGCCACTGGTGCGCATGGCCAAGCGTGCTGCCGCTGCTCTGCAGGGTGGTGTACTCGCTCTGCAGAAGGCTGTGCGCGTCTCTGTAGGCCTGCGGCGGCGGCGTCTGCTGCATGCTGCCGGGCTCCGAGCTGGACGTGAGGATGCTGTAGTGGTTGGACGCCGCGGTCGCCATAGTTTCCACCGCTACTCTGTGCCACAGGCGGCTCCCCAGCGCGCCAGAGCCGCGAGGACGCAGAGGCGCGCACCTGAGATCCGCCTCGCGCTGCTGTCGATTGGTCAGAAGCGCTTGACAGATGCGGCAGCGGCGCGTTCATTGGTTACAGTAGAGTCGACACTGAAGCCCCATCCCATTGCGCTCCACTGAAAACAAGCACAGAGGGATCAGCAGTGACAGGGCGCAATGGGCTCCAAAGGTATCCAGCCTGGCTTTCGTTAACTTTTTCTTTAGGTTTAAATGCTTCGCAATTTAGTAGTAATATGCTGTTTTACTTGGCTGTTACTTATATGATAGTCATTCCAATAGAATTAAATAATTCATTTTAGATTAATTTCGTTATTATTGGTTATTCTATGAGTGTTTTGTTCAAAAAGGAATAAACTTGTTTTTAATATTATCCGTGAAAACTAGCATATGAAAACATTTTTTAAATATATGTTTATAACCGTGTTTATTATATATCATGTTAGCATTTCAAATAAATGGTAAATACATTTTAGTCAAAAACCTAATATTTTTATATATTTAACTGTGTATCTCTCTCTCTCTCTCTCTATATATATATACAGTATATATGCAATAGTAAATATATATAAAAGTAAACCTAAACATATGTTTATATAGTTATTTTAAATATTTCTTATATACAGTAATCTGTAGTTCAAATAAATTAATAAATAAACAAAAAATTGATAAAGACAATACAAAAGTGCAAAACGTTTTTTTTTGTATTTAAATATATCTATATCTTATAACTGGATAAAACAAAATGCTCTTCTACAATAAAAATGAATGAATAAGACGTGGGTGCATAATATATTTCATATAGAAAATTAAAAAAGACTATTAATCATAAATTCAGAAATGTGCCCTGCACTTTAAAATATCACCATCATTCCATCCTTTTAACGTCTATCTGTTTCACAATACTTTGTCATTTCTACTCAATTTTTAACTTAATTTTCTTCATTAAAATTATATTTCAAAAATTTGTTTTCTTCATTAAAATTAAATTCAAAATGGTTGAAAAGGTGCAGTGAGCTCACAGCTGTTATTGACACCAATTTTTTTTTACTTAAAAAAAAAATAAGGCAAAAAAATCACAATAATTATAGACTTCCATGAAGTGTAATGTTAGCCATCCTTACAGTGTATATGATTATTAAATGGGTATCTGAGCATTAATAATTATTTTAGACTCGGGTGATATTATAATAATTCTGTTTGTTTATATTATTATATGGATGAAATAACAGCACTCTGTGTTCTGATGGGATTTCAGAGTCTCTCTGTGTCTTTCTCATGGCTCAAGGAGGGGGAATATTTCTCGGGCCCCTGTCCGTTGCCATGGCGAGAGGTGAATGAAACAACGCCGCCCACGTCACAGCTGCTCGAGCCTTTTCTCTCTCTCTCCCTGTGCACATAAAGCCCATTTCAAAGCCTGAAAAGCGCACACAGGGCACCGCAGGGCCGCAGGGCCAGAGAGAGGTGAATGGCAGACTCTAACTCCACCCCAGCCACGGCCTTTTGTAAACATGCACCCACATGCACTGTTCTCCACACGTTTTTTTGCACTTCTTTATAATGCATCTCTGTGTGCAGTGCAAAAAATACATGGTAGTAGCATGTCTAAAAAAGCATGATAGTCCCATGATACTTATTGTGAGTGCCAAATGCTCTGCATTTTGTGAGTGCCAAATGCAGATTGCCAAATGCTCATGAGTTTTGGTGAAACGCAAGGAGCGGTCGTGTTAATTGAGTTGTAATTTTAAGATTCAGAAACTTTAACACAGTCGTGCATGGCCAAGCAGAAAACACATTAGCATAATAAAGTAATATGCAAACTATGGGCTGTTCAATTACACATCCTAATAACGCATAAACGATGCTAGACCCGTTAAAGGGACGAAAAGGCCTAGTGTTTATTATTATTAAACAGTTATCTCTCTGGTATATTTCCTCCAGTCTGCGTTTGAGAGAATAAGAATTAATGGTGAATAATCTGAGCAATAGATTAGCAGTAATTATATCGACCCTGTGCTGGAGTTATTTAATTTCTCATGGCTTAATTAGATAGGACTGTTGAGTAACTAAATGTTCCAATTCAAAACATGATCATCATGGGGATTTTTCTTTTTATACTTTTTTCTCCATAGCAGGAACAGAACAGTCTTTGTAATACTGAGTAATAACTTTCTATGATTCCATGAAGCCCATTTTGTTTTTATAATAAAATAAATAAATAATATACAAAAACATAAAATATATACATTCCTACTGAAAAAAAGTTTAGTTTTGGCATAGTAACAATTTTTATTCAGAAATTGTTAGTATACATAATCACAAAAAAGTGGCCAGTAACACAGTGAATTACATTTTTGAAGTAGAAAAAACGGAAAAAGTATCTTTGTTTTGTAAAACATCAGTAATCTTTGTTTACTACTTCGAAAAATCTTTTAGCATTTTTCATTGCTTCAGTATTTGCATTTTCAATAAAATGCACTGAAAACAAATCAATTGCAATTTATGTCATACAGTACGTATATATTTCATTTTACATTGTGTTGTGTTTTCTGTCAGTTTGAATGTGTGTGTGGGGTTTGTTTGGGGTTCACCTGTGGTAGATATAAGGGGTGGATGAGCTCCTACAGACCCTTATTCACATGAAATTAGTCTGCACAAAGGGCTCGTTAAATCTGTAATCCCACATGCCTCCTCTCCCTTTGATAGTGTTGGTCAGCTGTGAGCGAATGGCTATTATGCTCCTTATAAAAGAGGGGCAGTTCAGCTCTCTGTATTAAGGCCCCCACTGCGCACGGCAAAACTGGGGTCAGTAGCACCCCAAACACAGTCTCTCACACATACATGCAGCAGAAACACTGGCTCATCACATGTGTCATTAGATCAAACCCTTCAGAAACCACCTGTTTCAAAAACATTTTGGTGTGAAAGTGAATCTGAAGAGTACTGTTTAAAAAAAATAAAATGCTTGTGCTTGCAATATTTCACTGAACAAATATTTAAAATCTAATAAATTTTAAAACCACTTTGAAAACCCACGATCATCTATATTTTTATATAAAATATAGCTAAAATAAGGTTCTGTATACTGTATGCTCAATGCATATATTAATATTTAAAAATCATATCAATAATAGTAATAATAATATTTCTCTTGCTCTTTTTCCTCTTACACCCAATAACTCTCTCATTTTTATCGGGTAGTTGTTTAAATATGAATACTTTGGAAGCCCGGCAGGTACATCCGTTATTACAACGAATGCAGAATTACATGTATTTTTCACAAGGGTTTTGGATTTTAATGGGGTTATGATTTAAGATCCTGCGTGCTTCTATCCCTTCTATGGTCTGAGCATTCAGATTTTAGCTCCATGTCTGCTACAATGTTCCTCTAATTTAGAGCATTTGTGAGGATTATGTATTTTCCGCCTGACTGTGACAAACATTTGGCGCTGGTTGGAGTGAGTGGGAAAATTACATTGCATCATCAGATTAAGTAGGTAATCCAGAGGTGTCTGTGTCTCTGGCTTTGTGTGGGAGGATATAATGAACACACTAATTAGGGGTATTATTTAGATAATGGGTGTAAATCTTTGTCTGAGAAGCTTAGGCAGTTATGATAAAACTCTAATGTGCAAATCCAAAGTCATTAAGATATTTAGTTGATTGTCCAAGATCTTTGGAAGGCGGCTAACTCGCAGCCTGATAGCGCTGATTGATTCCCCTGTTCCCTGAACTTTTATGATTTGATGAAATAAAACTTAAGTCTCTTTTTCTCCTGGACTCAGATGCAAGAGTTTGGTAGTTTAATGGCTGATTGGATTTTACTGCCATTGAGACCAGACCATTAAAAATCCACATGGGTGTTTTGCTCGTTTTGCATCCTGATCTATTCTCTGTGGATGTGAGAGTATAAATATGTCATGTTTTCAGGGTCGCTGTGGCTTTAAATTTTCTTCCAAATGCAAGCACATGACCTTTTGTTATGTGTGCTTAAACCTCAGTGTCACAACAACCTCATGATTGTAGCTAGCACGTGAAACATTGAACTTGAGGATATGCTGCTTCTGATTGGTCAGCAGCTCAATTCAGTGGTCTGATGTTTTGTAATATTCACTGTCGTCCAATACAACTCTGTATATCAGAAATTGACAACTGAAACGGGTAATTCAATCGCAACTAGCGCCATCTTTCGTCTCAGTTAGGGATTGTAGTGCAAATGACTTCAGAAGACTTTATTACTATAAGAGTATATTACTATATTTATTACTATATTGTATATTACTGTAACATTTTTGCTGCGCCTCTTATTTTTCATAATTATTAAAATAATGTACTAGTAAAATGTATGGAATTATAGAATATATAGCTAAATTAAAACTCAGTATTTCATGTTAATGGAACCAGGTGACTGGACATCATTTCTGTATTTGCAATATATATATATATTTCAGCATAGAAATGTTCTAATGTCGGCACCGGTAGCCTCGTGGTTAATGCGTCGATATATAGCAAAACTGTGCTCACAGCGACCCGAGTTCGATTCCCGCCTCGAGGTCCTTTGCTGATCCCGCTCCCCTCTCTCCACCCAATACTTTCCTGTCATCTCTCCGCTGTCCTCTTAAAATAAAAAAGGTACAAAAAAAGATATGTTCTAGAACATTTGAAAATTATCCTATGAATTGTAATATATGAACAGCATCAGAACATTCCAACAGTTCTGGAACATTCGAACACTCTCCAAGCAAGAACCTCTGCATTAGAATGTTCCAGTAATCTAGAACAATAAAATTCTGTTTAAGTAAAATTCAGTAAAAATGTGTGAATTTGAGCATCAAAACATCTCCAAGGTTCTAGACCATTCTAGAACATTAGAACTGTCCTTAGAACTCTCAGCATCAGAACATCCCAGTGATCTAGAACAGTAAAATTCTTGTCATGTGTGAATGTTAGCATCAAACACTACCAGTGTTCTAGAT